TATATAAAAGGCTTGACAACGTACACCAGATATTATATAACTAAAAATTAACAAGAAATTAGAGTTCAAATTATGATATTTTTCATTTTCCATGGAACTTGGAAATTATTTTCCATTTTCTACCTTTTACAATATTTGATAGGCAAAATTTTCCTCGGAATTGGTTTTCCTCCCAACCCCCACGTGACCTCATTTTCTTGGTCTTCATTGAATTTGTTTTCCCACCATTTTGGTGGGAAAATGATTTTCCACCCTTTTTTTTAATTATTTTTTTTAGCAATAGAAACAATTATATCCCTAATTGTAACAAATTATATCTGTTTAATGGACAATTTTCATATAAAACAAAGTTAAACGAACACCAAAAGATCCAAAATTTCAATATTTTCCACGTGAAAAATTATACTAATCAAACACAATTAATTTAGAATTCCCTAGAATTCATTTTCTTTCCATCCAAATTTTACTCTTGCAATCAAACAGACCGTTATTGTATATTACTTTTTTTCTAAATTATATCTTCAATTTACAAAAATAATTATAATTTTTCATGGGATATTCTGTATCCTATTTTTTTTTTTACAGAAATAAAATAACATTTTCATGTATCATTTCGTATATTTGCATCCTAGCCCCAATCAAAACCCAAGTTACCATTCCACCCCCCTCAAAAACATAAAACAATATCTTAAACCACACTCCAAAATATTGCGAAACAGTTAAAGCTTTCAAGTCAATTATTCAGTTTGGACCCGGCCGACGACCTCCGCCGAGACTCCCGGCGCCATTTTCCATCCTAATTGTCAATAAAAAAAATTAATTCTAAACTGCAATTCTGTGGAATCAGCTTTTCCCCGTGAATTCTGTTGACATTCAGAATTTTCGTACCCCAACGGCACGGCCCCACTTTTCTCAGTTAAGAGGGAAAATAAGTTCCCAAGTGCACTGGTGGATATTGAACATTCGAACTTTGATTTTTAATAAATTTTGATAAAAATTGATAAATATGTAGTTGAAAAGTTGTGGATCTCATAAAATATGCGATTAAAATTAATTATTGATTTTGATTTATATTAAAATCTAAATTTTATTCACTATTATTCGTAGCTCCCGATCGTCTTTGTATATTAATGCCTATAAATTCACTCACTCGAACAAATATTACGTCTTTAGAGGATTAAATTCATGGTGGCCACCCATCTTTATACTTGGTGTCATCATGACCACTCAATTTGATTTTGTTTCACCATGATCACTTAACTTTATACCTAGTGTCATCATGCCATCCAATTTGATTTTATTTCATCAAGATCATCCAATTTTACATAACGTTTCACTATCCACCGAATTTCATATAACATTTTACCATGACAACTCAACTTCTTTTTACCATTTTTATTAATTTTAAAAGGAGTAAAACGTAACTTTGCATTATATATAAAAAAATTAAAAAAAAATTAAAATAGAAACTTATTTTAAAAAAATAAAATAAAATGAAATAAAAAAAAATTTACTTAGAAAAATAAAATAAAATAAAAACTTTTTCTAAAAAATGTTTTTAAAATAAAACAAAAACTTATTTTAAAAAAAAAGTTCGAAAAATAAAATAAAATGAAAAATTATTTTAGAAAAAATGTTCTTTAAAAAATAAAATAAAATAAAAACTTATTTCATAAACGTTTTAAGTTTGTTTTTTTTAAAATAAGTTTATATTTTAATTTTTTTAAAAATATTTTATATATACAATGCAAAGTTACAATTTTACATCTTTTAAAATTAATGAAAATGGTAAAAGGAATTTGAATAATCTGGTGAAATATTATATGAAATTGGATAGCAATAATGAAACGTTAAATGAAATTGGACGGTCTTGGTGAAATAAATCAAATTGGATGCTCATGACAACACAAAGTATAAAATTTGGTGGCCACCAATGAATTAAACCCCATCTTAGAGGTAATAAAAATAAATATTCTTTTGTAGTTACTTTATTTAATCCATTTCGAAGAGACATACTTTCGAATTGATTGTCCCACCAATTTTGATCATTGGTAAATTTTTAATTTAATTGTAAATGTCTTGCGACGGTGGAAAGCACTAATTTGTTTGAATGATTCAATTTACTCCATTCGAAATCAACATTAAGTTGCCTACCAATTTTGAACTCTTGTATGCCTTTCGTCGGTGGACAAGAATTGTTTAAAATGATTAATAATCTAATAATGAGGTCGAACACAGTGTATAGGGAAAATCGATTTTTTTATATCAAAATTCTACACCACGTCAAAAAAATGCGATTTGTCGAATTTTAAGCAAGGCCAACCACTTATAGGTACATAATCTAACATTGTGAGCAAAATATCACTAGAAAGTAGAAACAAAATAAATAAATCTCCAATTAGTTTTTCTAAATTTTTTCTCTTTTTCATTTCATTTTTAGTTTTTTTATTTTATTTTCAATAATAATCAAAGAAAAAGCCTGTAAAGCCCTAAAGAAAAGCAGTGGAGGTGCCTCACGTGACTTACCGACCGTCGCACGTGATGGAGACGGACACAGTGGATAAAACCTTTAGGAGAGCGGTTAGGAGCAGTTAGCGTAATAATTAAGTTGGTTAAAAAAAAGAAACCATGGTCAAAAGGAATATATACTGCTTTTGCGTCATGAAAAATTACCAGTTAGTTAACGGCCGTTAAGTTTAACGGTTTCACACAGTCTATAAAAACAGGCCGTATATTGGCCGTAGTGCTTCGTCTATCAACTCTCAATCTGTTTTCCCCTCCCTCTGTCTCAGAAGTTTCAGCTATATATACACTGATAAAGAGAGAGAAATTATATATATATAGAGGGAGAGAGAGAGAAGAACTGAGAGTTTTGTAGAAATGGCAATGGAGGTCCCGAAGAAATGGTTGTCTCTCTGCTCTTTGCTGCTTTTGCTGCTATTCATATGCGTCGTTACTGTAGTGAACCAAGACGAAGCCTCGAAATCGAGGTTTGTTCCCCTTTTTCTTCGGCATTATCTGAATTCTTCTCTAATTTCTGGGTATTTTCTTTTGAAGTAAAGTTTTACTGTGAAAAATTCAGAAAAAAATTGTAGTTCCAGTTTATTTTCAATGTCATGTTTTGAAATTTTTTTTCCTGTTTATGTCGAATTTCACCTGCATTTTTTAGAAGTTCTGAAGGAATTTGTAATTCTTTTCGTCCTTTCTCGTGCTTTCTTTTTCAAAATTACTTATGTCTTTTTGTGATTTTGGTTTAATATTTTACAGTGCTGTGGAAATAGAGCAATTGCAGAGCTCTAACAACTCAACAATGGCGGCAAGGTTTGTGACTCAGTCAATTTTTCACATTTTTACAACTGAGTCGATTTGGCAACGCCTAATCTTTGATTTAAATCTCACCGTTTAAATTTTCCCTCTTTAACACATCAAATTTTAACCGTTGGATCTCTTTCAAGTCCGCTCACTCCTCTGTTGCTAACCTAAAAGAATCAATCTCAGCCTTCGGATTCCTAACTCTCGTCGGATCTCATCCGTTTATTCAGTTAATACACAGATTCCTCTGTAAACAAAATTCTCATTGGCTCTTTCGATTTTCCATACTTACCCTTTCAAAATGCAGTTTATTTCACATTAAACCTTCTTATCGAAAACATACGGTGGGGTATTTTGGTAATTAAAATTACACGTTTCGACCCGGAGTTATCAGCTGTATTCTTCTCTCTTCTAAAAAAGCACTTTTCGACGGTTTTAACGGTAGTGCTTTGTATGTATATGCCAATGTGTATGTAATATACGGCACTGCGCCACTACCTTGAGCAGTGTACAGCACTGTGTGTTGTGTGTGTGTTTTTTAGCAGTGTTTGTATGCTTTCGTGGCACAACCCCGCTTTTTTCCTACGTGAAAATCATATTACTGAATAAAAAATTATTTTATGTCGTCGGTAGCTGACACCCCACGTGAAATTTGTACTACACATTCTTCATTTATTACTTTTTATCTCAAATGGGTTCACCGCAGAATGAGCTAAAGTTGTTTTCGTCTGGCCTAAATAGTGAATTAACAGTCAAAACTAATGGATAAATGCGTCCTAATACGTACACAGAGAGAGAGAGCGAGCGAGAGAGAGAGAGCGAGAGAGAGAGAGTTTGACTGTATGGAATAGATATTGATGGGTAATGTGATTTGATTTGGCTTAGGTTGGGAGAAATTGAACAGGAGTCCTTGAATGAACATGCAGTGGATGACCCAGAAGCTGTTGCAAGAATGGTTGAAATGTAATGTTCTTTGCTCTTTACCGTTTGAGAATTCTTGATTATTGCCGTTTTTTGCATTAATCATAAGTGGGCACATCGAGTTTTAGTAGCAGTTATTGCTACGAACTTATTGTCCTTGAATTGAACCCACTCCCAGTTGGGATCGGCGGGGGGTGGGTGGGTTCTATCTGTTTGCTTGTATGATGAATGTAGCAATGTGGGTTTGTTTTATAATTTATTACATTCCATGTTATAGAATTTGCAAAATTCAACCTCATTATCATACTCTGTTCTGTTAATTTTTTGAACTTCTTTGCGTATTAGGTTGGAGTTTAATTCATCCACTCGCTACTACAATTTTATCCACGTCTTGCACTATAATTTTCCTTCATTTGTATCTGATTTTACCGAATTTTATGTCAAGTTGTTCATATGTATTCAAATTTCTTCGTGATTCCTTTGCATTGTCAATTTGTGGAGGGCTGTTTGAACTTGGTGTTGTCATTAGAACTCTAATGCTTAAGATAAATTCCCCTCGGTTCTTTGTCACGTTGGTCCATGTACTTGTTCTCTAAGTCATAATAATTGGGTTAAGTGCGGATGGTGAGGGCATGCATCACATGGTCACATAAGATAAAGTAGCAAAATATTTGAATTCTAAGTTGCTCATGGTGGAATTCAGTAGGCCCACATATACGTGAAATGATGCACTCTATCCTTTCTTTTTAACACGGCAATATCACTCATATGGGGACAAAGAAAGATAAAGTGGTTTCAATATTTTTGCTGCCTTTAGATACCATTAATTAACCTAGCAAATAAAGCCATCTCATGTGCAATTGGAAAGGTCTAAATTGTTATAATATGACAAAATACATAATTTATTTTCAGTGTCCTCAAGTAGACCAAGTCTGTCTTTTGGTTTTGCTACACCGACAGATACAGTTGCAAGAGTATTTTTTTTATGCTGATATATTTTTCGTGCTACTATACATGAAATTAATCTGGTAGTCAAATAGTAATTTATTTAAAAGTAATTTGGAGGCTTGGATGTGGCCTGTGAATGACAGGGCCACTTGGAACAGCACTGAGAGGCGAAAACTTGGATTTTTCTCTTGCGGAACCGGTAACCCTATCGATGACTGCTGGCGTTGTGACCCCAATTGGCACAAGAACCGCAAGCGCCTTGCTAATTGTGGTATTGGTTTTGGGCGCAATGCCATTGGAGGTCGTGATGGAAGATTTTATGTTGTCACTGATCCTCGGGATGATGACCCTGTTAATCCTAGACCTGGCACTCTACGCCATGCTGTTATTCAGGACAAGCCTCTCTGGATTGTCTTCAAGCGTGACATGGTTATTACATTGAAACAAGAACTCATCGTGAACAGTTTTAAGACCATTGATGCCCGTGGAGCCAACGTACACATTGCCAATGGAGGATGCATTACAATTCAATATGTTACCAATGTCATTATTCATGGTTTGCACATCCATGATTGTAAACCAACTGGAAATGCCATGGTGAGGAGCTCGCCATCACACTATGGTTGGAGGACTATGGCTGATGGTGATGCCATTTCCATCTTTGGGTCCAGCCATATCTGGGTTGATCACAATTCGCTTTCTCATTGTGCTGATGGCCTTGTTGATGCTGTCATGGGCTCCACAGCCATTACCATTTCCAACAACCATTTTGCCCATCACAATGAGGTCCATTAGCTTTGAAATGTCTCTCTATTTCCTGTGACACCCAATTTATCGCTAATTATACGAATGATTTTGTTTGTTAATGTAAACAGGTTATGCTGTTAGGACATAGCGATTCTTATGTGAGAGACAAGCAAATGCAAGTGACCATTGCCTACAACCACTTTGGAGCGGGTCTCATGCAGAGAATGCCAAGGTAATTCATACTTGAATTTCACGCTAAATGGCTCCTAAGCATTGGTTTTTATGAAATTTAGATTCACATAATCTGATATATAGGAAAACATTGTACGAATAATGCAGGTGCAGACATGGATACTTCCATGTCGTGAACAACGACTATACTCACTGGGAGATGTATGCCATTGGTGGAAGTGGAAATCCCACAATCAACAGTCAAGGAAACAGATATCTTGCCCCGGCCAATCCTTTTGCAAAAGAGGTACCACAAATTCAAGATTCCCGATGCTTCTTAAATAATTACCAATTGTCCGTCATGAGATTTAAGCTTCACACTTGTTTAATTTGTTGATGAATTGGTTTTGATCAGGTGACAAAACGGGTCGAGACAGCTGAAAGTCAATGGAAAGGTTGGAATTGGAGATCGGAAGGCGACCTGATGCTTAACGGGGCTTATTTCACTCCGTCTGGAGCTGGAGCTTCCGCCAGCTATGCTAGAGCTTCAAGCTTAGGTGCCAAGTCTTCCACCATGGTTGCCTCTATTACTTCTGGTGCTGGTGCCCTTGGTTGCCGCCGGGGTCGCCAATGCTAACAGTCTTAGTTATTATTGCGTAAAAACTATAAGGCGTCTTTTTCATTTTTATTTTCAATTTCCTGTTAGAGTCCATTTTACCACTACAAAGCACTACCTATTTCTATTTCGTCCATTATTTGTGGTTCGGTCGTCTGTCTGTTTACTTCACATTGGCAAGTGTACATTTTTTTACACATGTCCAATTCATCCCCGTCCATTGATCTTCATTCCAGTCACCATTGTTGCGCAACCTCGGCCTGCTTCAGTCGAAAACAATGCTATTCTGGGAGCAGGTGCTGAAGCGTTGTACAAACCCGTCTTTTTTTTTCCTCCTATTTTATCAAAATGTCGAGATGTTTCAGCCAATATCCCCATCTACATGTTGTGTTGGTTTTTTTTTACAAAGAAAATGACTGTTTCTTCCCCTTTTCTCTTTTTTGCTTTCTTGAGTCATACAAGCTATAGTGTGAATGTCAAAAACATGAATTATGGAAAAAGAAATTATTTTTGTACTGGTTGTTTTTGGCTTTTACTTTTTCCTTGCTTTGTCTTTTGGTTGAATGAATTATTGTGCTTTTAGGACAATACATATATACATACATACTTGATGTGTGAGTTTTACTTTATCTAATTGGTTCCTGTTGTGATTATTACTGCCTGTGCTGAGCATAAAGATTATCTAAATGATGAGTGTTTACTGCATAGATTAATGGTGTCAACTACTTTTATAATGATCCAATTTTGCATCATGATATTTCACATGGGATGTTACATTTTTTCATGACTAACGTTAAATAGTCACAAAGTAAATCTTTCACGAGCTATATAAAAGGTGGACATTTCACAAAGGATGATGTTTAATGTGCTTGAGAACTCGTAAAGTAGACCTTTCACAGACAATATGATACTCTTATATTTCGTCCCTTCTGAATCGACGTTCTCACGAAATCGGGTCTCTACTAACATTAACTCATGTCATGTCGAACTTATGACATGTATGAACGTATGTGAATGTGTACCTAATAGAGTGCAAATATTTAATGACACCGAGCGTTGCATGTGAGGTTGGACCCATAAGGCATGTGAGGCATGTTATTCCCATTATAGACCAGTGGGGCCCAATCTTAATACATTACCCAATTAGCCCACATACATGGCTGGCCTATTGCAGCTGTCACACTATTATATTTTCTTCCTTCATTTTCTTGGCTATAATTATTACAACACAAAAATATTCAACTTCACTATCAAAACCCTTTATTAGTTTGTTTTTAAAAAGAACACTTCAATAATGGGTTCCTAAATGTATGCATGACTTATAATCAAAATTTATATTTTTTTATACATATTTCAATGTAATTTTCTTTTTAATTTTAAAAAATAAAAGACACTTGGACAATATAATTGAATTGTAAAAAGTATCCATGGAAGATCAATTTTAATTTGGGTGTCGGTTCAATAGACATCGATATCACATAAATTAATAATCTTTTAACTTGTGTACCACTTAAATAATAATTCATAAAACGCATTGAAAATGCTCTAATGTTAATTTATCGTGGATCTTCGACATGCTTGTTTTAGTTAGGTCTATGATTATGCTGGGAATAATTACCATAAAGAAATCATTACAATTGAGGAAAATGATTTAGATGTATGATGAGCATTATAGTAATATCGATTCTTTCAATAATCAATGAAATTTTAAATTCTAATTGGATATAATCTCAGGCTTCTTGTTGAGCTAGCAAGTATCAAATATTGTGTAACTAACCAAATTAGTCGAGTTTACTTTTAATTCAGCTTTAAAAAATCATTTTATTTTCCCAAAAAAAAAAAAAGTCCATTTGTATACCATTCGAAGGAAAGATAAGTCACATTTGAACTTTTTTAAAAATTAACTGTCCATTTTAAGTGAGCATTTGTGACAAAACCTTGATAAAAAAGACTCATTGATGCCCTATTATCAGACTTTAATAGCCTAAAAATATAACAGAAAATTGTAGCACCGGTCTAAATTCTTCTTCCAATAACAAGTTAAGCGAAATAAAATTGAACTTTTTAAAATTTGGACAAGTCAAATGATGATTTAATAAAAATTCAAATTGATTTGTCAAACATTAATTAAAAGAAAAGCTCACTCCTTGTCTTCATAACTTAGGCG